GCCGCCGCCGCCGCCGCCGCCGCCGCCGCAGCCCGGCCCGGACGTCAGCGCGTGCACCTCCTGTGGGTGCGGCGGTCGCGTTCGCACGCGGACTGGATCCCGCAGGAGCGCCTGGACGAGCTGGTCGAGGCGGGGCTCAACCTCGTCGTGCCGGAGCCGACGAACGAGGCCGGGAGGCCCGACACGGCGGGCTTTGTGCGAGACATCTGTGAAAGCCATGCGTCTTTTCGCGCGGGCTCCGGCGGGGTGGGTGTCGTCGTTTCCGGGCCGGACGGCATGAACCGCGAGGTGCGCAACGTCTGCGCCGCTGCCATCGGGGACGGCGTTGATGTCAGGATCGCGGTCGAGAAATTTGGGTGGTGAAGCGGTGTTTCTTGTTTTGCGCCTTTGTTGGTACTTGAGGTATGGTCAATTCCATTCCTTCCGTTGGTATTCGACCAGTAAAGCGTGGTCATCTGATGTCGAACGCTCCAAGCCATGTTTTTGTAAGCATGGCGGCCCAACGAATGGGCCAACGGAGAGCCCCCAGCGGAATGCACAGGGATTTGGGTTGGCGTGCTGACAATGCTCCAAAGCCATTTGATGCACAAGCGCCCACTACCCCACACCACGATGAAATCACCGTGTTTGACGGGCCGGTCTTTGGTCCGGCGGCATAAAGCCGCTGCGGCGGACACGGATTTAGAGGGCCTTGAAGTCTTGTCTCCGTCACCTGAATCGGACTCTCCCGGATATGACCCACATCCGCCCGATAAATCGACAAGGTAGAGGGGAATAGCGCAATGTATCGAATATTTAAAACATCTGGGCAGCCTGTTCCTGGCCGAGTTGAAGATGCCTCAACAACCCAAGCTGTCTCCTGATTCTCAGCCGATTACTATCACGCAAGATCTGTTAATCCTGAACAAACTCATCCAGCCCAAATGGCCCCCTCAACCATTATCCTGATCACTGGTAAGCCGCAACCACCCTTCCACAACCCCATTCCTTCCCCTGCGGTATTTGGAAACTGACATCAAGTTAAACCTCAAAGGCGCCAACGTCGGCGTCGGCTTCGCGTCCGCCAAGGTCATCGCCAGCGCCTCGGACAAGTACCACGTCTTCGTGACGGGGCGCAGCCTCGAAAAGGCCCAGAACGCCGTCGCCAAGCTCGAGGCGACGGGCGAGCTCAAGGGCACCGTCTCGCCGCTGCAGCTCGACGTGACGGACCTCGCGTCGGTCGACGCGGCGGTCGCGGCGGTGGACGCCAAGTTTGGCCGCCTCGACGTGCTCGTCAACAACGGCGCGCTGGGCTTCATCAAGAACGAGGCTGGCGAGGTCGACGCCGGCGCCGGCATCGAGGAAGTCTTCCGCGTCGTGCTCGCCACCAATGTCGCGGGGCCCTACACGGCATCGCGCAGGTTCAGGCCCCTGCTCGCGAGGTCGGCGGACCCGCGCATCGTCCACGTCTCGAGCGTCATGGGCTCCATCGCCAGCACGCCGGCCATGGCCGAAGGGTACAAGCGCTTTGGCGAGTCCGGGATCCCCTACGCCGTCAGCAAGGCCGCGCTCAACATGATCTCGGTCGTCGAGAAGACGGCGTTCCCCGAGCAAAAAACAAAGATCTTTGTCATGTGCCCCGGCTTCGTCGTCTCGGAGCTGCGCGGCAGCGACGAGGCCTCCCGCTCCGGCTGGGGCGGCGCCGGCGACCCGGCCGTGTCGGGCCAGACGCTGCTCACCCTCATCGAGGGCAAGCGCGACGCGGACGAGGGCAAGGGGGTTCTGCACAAGGACGGCGTCCACCCTTGGTAGATGGTGGCCGCTGTTGAGCCTTGCTGTTGATTGGGGTTGGTGTTGGTTGGGATATTCATCTGTCCTCTATGGACTGCCTGAACCTTTGTTGGGTATATAGCAAGTAGCATCAAGACGCGTTTTGTTTCCTCAAGTTCCGAGAGCATAAATCGCCCTCCTCCCTTCTAGAAGTAGCCCTTCCTCGAAGCAAGCCATTTCTGCCAGCACTCAGGCTTCGGCTCGAGCTTCGGCTCGGGCCGAGCAGCGCCGACAGTGTAAATGCCTAGAGGTACCTAGGTAGGGAGAAAGAAAGTTTAATACCTGAATCAGTATCCCGCACTTTCTATGGAGGTGAAAAAGACATTATATGGCTGGAGCCGTGAACCCCACGTCCATCATACCAGAAAGGTGCTAACTCTTTCAACGGCAGCAAGGGTCACTCCAGTGCAACCAGTTTCATTCTGTCGCATTTAGCCTGAACCCCCAGCGCGTCGTTCCTCATTCCCCCTGCCCTACAGTTATTGCCACCTGAGCTCACGTCCTGTTCACCGCAGCTAAGCCCGTCGTCATCACGTATTAGTCCCCAACACCAGCCACAAGCTTTGCTCTCGTGTCCCGTCGGGTGTTTGGTGCCTCGGCCAACGGCACCAGGGTGTTTGAAATACCCGACGAATCATTGTGCCGGCGGTCTCTCATCACAGCCGGCATTGGAATCCTCACTAGATGCGCACCAACCATGGCCCCCCGTTCCCCGCACATGCACGGCCACCTCTTGTCCGTACCCCAAGCCGCCCAGTCAAGAGGCGACATAGCTTGTTTAAGTAGCATTCTAGATCGTACCTCGGCAACTTCCACCAATGAGCGCCGTCCCGCGCCCTTCTCACATCACCTCCCCCGCATTGGCCGCTCTTGCAGGCCGCCAATGGCTCGATGGAACGTCTCGACCCAGAGGGCTCCAGGATACCACCTCCCCCGCCGGTGCCGCTCCCCCATGCACATAGGGTGGTAGCCACATACTGGCGCATAACTGACGGTAGTACGAACCTCCATGCTGGCAGCCGAGTGGTTAGTGATTGGGTGGTGTTTGTTGGATGAGGGGAAGATGCGGAGGAGGAGGAGGAGGAGGAGCAGGCCATGGAACGTACTTTCATAAGACAAAGACCATCGAACCCCGTCTGGGAAGATTCATGTCATGTCCTGCACACACTCTCCTAAGGCACCCAACATTACCGACGGGCATCAGTGTCACTAGCCATGTCCAACGAAGCTAGACCGGCGGGCGCCACCTCCGGGGGCGGCGCGGGAGACCTAAACATCGAGCAGGGAGGACCGAACCAGCGGTTCAGGCAGCTCAACGATGCTGGTCTCGACGACAAGGTGCTCATCTCGGAAGCGCAGGAAGGCACCAGGCACGAGCACAGTCTCGGCCTGGTCCAGGGCCTCAAGGCCTACAAGCGCGCCGCCTTTTGGAGCGTCTTGATCTCTTGCACCATCATCATGGAAGGTGAGCTGGCCGTGGAGACTATTGACCAAGATAGTGGATGAGGCTAATAGGGCTACTTCGGGACTAGGATATGACGTGGCGCTGCTTGGATCTTTCTTTGGGTATGTATGGCGATTGTGTTTGAACATGTTGCCCCCTTTCCCTCCTTGATAGATGATTCCATATTGCAACATGCACAGGGTAGTCACAGGAAGAGCTGACCGAGATCCTTCCTAGATACCCCCAGTTTCGGCTAAAATATGGGGAATACCTCAATGAGGAGAAGGGGTGAGTCCATCGGATCGCTGGACCTCTCCCATAATCACTGACATGATTCGTTATATCCTCCTAACAGGTATCAGATCTCCAGTGGATGGCAGCAGGTTAGAACTCCCCTTTCTCACGGTCATATTAGTTTTCTTTCCTCTTTTTTAGCAGCCGGATCTAACCAAGACGTCAATAGGCCTTCAACAGTACGATAGATGCTCACTAGCAAGCAATCCCTGGAATCGTCCACAGCTGAGTTTTGTGAATGACTGACACGCAAAACCGTTAAACAGTCTCCAGTGCCCTGGCAAATATCCTCGGGGCCTTGTTGAACGGCTACTTCACCGCCAAGTACGGACATCGCAAGGTCATCATGCTCTCGCTCGCGGCCCTCGCCGGCTTCATCTTCATCGTCTTCTTCGCGCCCAACATCCAGACCCAGCTGGCGGGCCAGATCCTCTGCAACATCCCCTGGGGCGTCTTCGCCACGACGGGGCCGGCCTACGCGAGCGAGGTGACGCCGCTGGCCATCCGCGGCCACCTGACGGCCTACGTCAACCTCTGCTGGTGCATCGGGCAGTTCATCGGCGCCGGCGTGCTCGCGGGGCTCGTCAGCCGCGAGGACGAGTGGAGCTACAAGATCCCCTTCGCCATCCAGTGGGTGTGGCCCGTCCCGCTCTTCGTGGCCGCCTGGCTCGCGCCCGAGTCGCCCTGGCACCTCGTGCGCGTCAACCGGCTGGGCGATGCCAGGCGCTCGCTCGAGCGCCTGTCGGACCCGGCCGAGCACCCCAACCTCGACGAGACGCTGGCCATGATGGTGCAGACCAACAAGATGGAGATGGAGGAGCGGGAGGGCGTCACGTACTGGGACGCCTTCCGCGGCACCAACCTCCGACGCACCGAGATCGCCTGCGTGGGCTTCCTCTCGCAGATCACAACCGGCGGCGCGCTCTGCTACCAGGGCACCTTCTTCTTCCAGCAGACGGGCATCCCGGACCGGACGGCCTACTACATCGGCCTCGCCGGCACCGCCATCGCCTTTCTCGGGACCTGCCTCTCCTGGGCGTTCATTTACAAGCTCGGCCGGCGGAGGATCTGGCTCATGGGCCTTTCCGGCCTGGTTGCCATCCTCTGGACCATCGGGTTCCTGGCGCTGCCGGAGCAGAACCTCCCGCTCGCCTGGGCCCAAAGTCTACTCTGCGTTGTCTGGCTTGGCGTATACAGCTTGACAGTTGGTCAGTATCAGGCTTCGGGATCTGTCGAGTTTGGCAGATAAAGACTAACCCCCGCTACAACCGGAAACAGGGCCAATCATCTACACGCTGGTCGCCGAAATTGGTAGGGACTTTCGCAGCGAGACAAATCGGCCGTATCTGTCGCTCTGCCACTAACCGGGAGCTGAAAATAGGGTCGACTCGCCTGCGAACACAGACCATCGTGCTGGCTCGAAGCACCTACTACGCTGGAAATATTATTGGCAACGGGACGCTGAATGTAAGAGCTCAATTCCTGTCATACGGCGCGCACCCGCTTTTGTGTGAAATACAAGAATTAACAAGACTGTACAGCCGAAAATGATATCCCCCGGCGACTGGAATCTCAAGGGAAAGACGGTATGTGAACCCCCAAAATCAAAACACACTCGCCTCTTGGATGGGCTCTGACCTCGGCGGTCACCGACCCGTCTCCCAGGCCTTCTTCTGGGCAAGCGTCGCCACCCTGACCCTCGTCTGGGGTTATTTCCGCGTGTTCGAAACCAAGGGCCGAACATTTGGCGAGCTGGACACAATGTTCCAGCGTGGGGTCACTGCCCGGCAGTCGGCAAAGTACAAGCTTGAAGTGGATGATATGGCCATGACCAAGTCCAAGACCAACGATTCCGCTCCGGCAGTTGCCGAATCAAAGCAGCAGTGATAGGGATGGTGATAGAAACGGTCAGGGGGTCAACAAAGGGGTTGTTGATGTCACAACTTCCACCCAGAGACGTCGGAGCAAGACTGGGCGTATCGTATGGCCTTGAGGTCTGCTAGTGATTGGGGATTTACCACGAGTGGATATTGGATACCATCCTCGTTCACATCTTTCTGTAGTATTTCTTGCCGAATACATACTCATTTGGTAATCGGCTGGTGCTGTGGCCGAGCTAGTTCTCGACGTAGTCTCGTTGGCTCCCTGCCGGGACCTGTAGAGGTACCTGCAGAAAATGATGGCCTTGATTGGACCCGCTCGTATAAATGCCCTTGAGGGCAGCGCTGGTTGGCTGTAGGAACACGAGATTTCGAACGAGCCGGCCACAGCGGTTGGCGGGAACATCAGTGGCACTTGAGGACATGACGTGACGGCTACTGCCAATCAAGCTTAAATTTGGAATTGATCGCTGCTGCCTGGGAGGAGCCGCATTGGCTTTGTGGAGAAACTACAAGCACGTCTAGTTGAGGTAATCCTCGTGCTCGCCGAGATTGCCGAGAATTCCAGCCTCCCAGCATCGCCCACTCCACGACAACGGCACATGACGGAAACGACAGTGAAATACATCATGCGACAGCCTCAACGTCTTGACCGCCTCGGAGATGACCTTTTTCGACGGCGGTACAGAGCGCGCCTTCCGCCGACGTTGCAGGGGGCGACGGCAACGTGGCATGGCTTGGCCCTCGCCGGCGAGCGGCGGCGACATGGCGGCGAATCCGATCTGACTTGTATCCCCGCCCCATGTCTGCATTCCCAACCGTAGCTGAGACACCTCTGCAGCTAGATCGATGTAAAAGTCACATCGAAAAAAGGAAAGCCAGGGGGGGAGGAGGACGTATTGGTACATCGGCCTCGTCACCTTGTTCCAAATGCCTAATCCATATTTGTGATCGCCCTCCCCGAGGTGAATCCGCCCCCGCCACCAACACGAGGCCCCCCCTCCCTCGGCACCCTACTGGGCCATCAGCTTCGGCTACCGACCGGGGTATTGGCGGCCGGGTGATCCGTTAGCTCTATCCCGAGATGCGGGCATCGTTCGAGCCATGCTATCCTGCGCCCCGGAATAGCACCCTCCCCAGAGGTCCGCCAGCCTGGTCGTGGCAGGACCTGCATAGATGGTTACGCCCCAGCCTGGCGCCTCCTGCAGGCACCGCCGCCGCCGTCTCGCTGGTCTCCCCGCCGAAAGCTGAGAGTATTGCATCGTTGCTCGTATTCCGTGCGTCCAGGGTCGGACAGGCCCGGTGGCGGGAACGCATTTCTCCCACAAGCACTTGTATAAATATCGACCGCAACCTCCGCCTTGGACTTATGGCTCTCTTTTCGAACAGCGCCCACGCTTGCATCAAGATCCCAACAGGAAACCGGCTTCGACAAGAACCTTATCCCAACTTTTCATCAAGTCCTTCGCTCAAATTCCTCAAGATGAAGTTCGTCGCCCCCGCCACCCTCCTCCTCTCGACCGCGGCCGCCATGGCCATCGAGCCGCGCCAGGCCCCCGACAACGTCTTCGTGACGGTCACGAATCTGCAGTGCCAGCCCCACGGCACCACGTGCTTGTAAGCCGCTCTTTCCCTATCCCGTTTTTTGAACACAAGTCCCTCCTGACAATGCCGCCTCCTACCCCTCCCTCCTCCAGCTACACCTTCGAGGTCCGCTCCTCGCCCGGCTCCGCGCCCCTGGTCTGCAGCGCCCGGGCCCAGGCGGCCGGCACGATCCCGTCGCTGCCCAACGAGCCGTGCGCGGACCCCAACGCCGTCTTCAGCTTCGAGCGGCAGGGGGCCGGCAAGCCCGCCTCGTTCGACATCACCTGGACCTCGGACTGGGCCCGCGGCGTCCAAAAGGTGCACGGCTCGCACGTCTTCTCGAGCGCAGACTTCAAGACGGACAACCTCGGCACCCAGTCCTACGTCGGCGCCAAGGAGTTCACCATCAGCGGCCTGACCACCACCCTGGTGATCCGGGACTAAGCGGAGGGGGAGACGGGACCAAGACGGGAGGGAGACATGATTTATGGCCTTGTGGTCCGCCGAGACAGAGACCGGCGACGGATGAATGTTATGTTCCAAGTATAAAGAGATAATTATGTGATAATCCACCATGTATCGCCCCACACGCGCGAGTATGCATCTCCAACAACAGCTACCTACCTCGCCACATGGGCTATATACAAGAGGCTGGCACCACATCGGCCGAACTTCCCCCCCGCCTAGCAGGTAAAGACGGCCGGCCCGGCCGGGGTGTAGCTCCGGGCGTTGTACATGTTGACCAGGATGCCCGGATCGGTGGCCTTGTAGGCGCCGGGGAAGGAGACGAGGTTCGAGGGCTTCTTGGAGCCGCTGCCGCCCGAGACGTTGATCTGGGCGCACGAGATGTAGAACTGCGCGCCGCCGACCGAGCTGGCGCCGTGCAGGGCGTTGTGCTCGATGCGGAAGAGGTACTGGAGGAGGGGCGAGGGAGGTTGTCAGACGGGGCACTAGTTTGGGTAATAGATGGGCCAAGTGGCACGCTTACCTCGCCATTCTCGATGCACCTCGGGATGGTGAAGGACGCCGACGCCTTGTCTGTCGCGAAGCACACGGTGCCGTTAGAGAACCGCCGACTGGCAACACTCTTTTCTGTTTTGTTTTTTCTTTCGTTTTTTCTCTTCTCCATCAAACCCAAAGCAAAACTCACTGTTGCTGGCAAACTGCAGCCCGCCGTTGCTCCCCGTCGGCATCTCCTGGTAGACCTTGAACCAGGCCTGGCCGGACCCGTCCCACGACGCGGCCGTCTGGCCGGCCGGCACCTTTGCCATCCAGCCGCTGACCGGGCCCGGGTGGAAGATGTTGGGCGCCGACTGGAAGGTGAGGGAGCCGCCGGCCTGGACGCCGTACGTCGACGCCGAGCTGCGCCCTCCCGCCTCGAAGCACCGTATCGCCTGGCTGTTTACGTCCTGGACGGGGCCGTTGGACTGCCAGTTGGCCGTGCGGCGCACGTACTGCCAGTCGTTGGTGCCCGAGATCTTGGGGAACGTGTCTGGGGGGTTTTGTTTTGTAGGAGTCAGCCGTAGTAACAGCCAGTCGGTTCCAAAAGGGGAGGGCTGGACCTACAGTGTCCCGAGACCGCCGTCACCAGAGCCAGAGTAATAATGGACGCCCTCATGATTATTGTTGGGACCAGGTGGATGCAGCCAAAACTGTCAAAAAATACGTGATAATCTTCCGGAGAGACGAACCGAGCGGGATATAGATTTGCAGAATAGAAATTCCCCGGTGTCAGGGCGTTGCAGCAAAAAAAAGGTGACCGCCACAACACACGGATATATAGAAAGAGAGGCAGAACCTCCGACCCGAAAGGCCAAGCCGCCCTCACCAGCCCAAGAACATGATAATACCCCCCGTGATGTGGACGGCTGGCTCGGCACTCACCCACCATGACATGACAGTCAAAAAATAGATTGGCGATAACAAAAGAATGGCCGCGATGGCTCCCCACCTCTCCCTTCCCTCCTCAAGACGTACGCCCCCGTCACCTTCTAGATGCGCGCGCCGTCGACCTCGGAAAAAAGCTCCGAGGGCCACGGCACTTCCCAAAGCGGCGCTAGCGTCAAGTCGAAATAGATTGCCTTCGGCTTTAGCCAGCAGGGGGCCCGGTTAAAGTCGAAATCGTCGACCACGAGATAGAGCAACCGGCGCGCCCCCCAGGCACGAGGGGTATGGGAGGGCTACATATTAATGGTACACAGCACGGACGCGCCCATGAAAGAAAACCTGGCACCGGTATTGCTGAGGTAGCACAGCAGTCTGGGGGACAGCCGTGTGGGGTTCCCCGGAACCACGGCTCAGCTGCCGAGGCTCTGCGGCAGCCGAGCCGTGGCCTGGACGGCAGTCCGCCACAGATTTGGACATGCTCGGGAGCAGGCACTGCGAGACAGACCCTCTTGGCACGGCTCGATCGCTCCGGCAAACCTCAGCTGCCAAGCGAGGCACGTTCACGACTGCAGGTCAGGCTTCGTGTCGGTCTGCGTGTTTTCGGAGTTGAAAGCAGCAGCCCAACAAAGCGGCCTCGGCATGAGCAAAACGAGATATCGGATTCCAGCCATGGCCGGGTATATGATCTAGGTAAAAAAAAAAAAACCATTTCCTCCCGACTCCTTGTTTCCAGTTCTTTCCTACCCAAAGCTCCGGCGTTGGTCTCTTTGTAACGAGCCAGAAAGACGCGAAAGGGTGTGGTATTAAAGCGTCGGAATGGAGAATGAAAACAGAACAAATTGGAGAAGCTAGATGAACGGGAAACAACGATATAATTCAGACACAGTCCTTGTAAAATGGGATGGGGAGGGGAAGCAAAGCGCAGGGTAGCAATGGTGAGAATGCGTGACCGACATCCCAGCTGAAGGGAGAAACGCCGCGTGCGTGTAGGGCGTATACTCGTGAATCGTGAGTAAATGCTTTCAATGCTGGATCGAGCGCGATAGATACCAGTAAAAGGCGTACAAATGCCAGGGTAAATGAAACAGGGGTGGGAAAAAAAGACTGATCCAAAGAATTGAAAGCATAAGAGACAATGTGGATCGTGCCACGAGGCTTATTTGGGCTCAGGAGCTCCCGGCGATGCCCAGGCCGAGCCCTCTCGCCGCAGACATGCTGCCGCTCACGGGTGCGTTTGTGCCCGTTCGCTCCCTCATCCTGCGCCCTTCCATCAAGCCGCGGAGGCCCCTCTTCTGCAGTCCAATGACGCTGCTCAGCTCTCCGTCCCACACCTCGCGGGCGGCACCTCTCTCGCTGTCGAGCTCCGAGCTCCACTCGCTGCCGGAGACGCTGGTCGTGGCTGACAGCTCTGCGCTCTCGGGACGCTGCGCCCCCACCCCACCGTTGTGGAGTCTCATGTTCGCCGCCTGGCCCGTGAGAGCGCCAAGGCCATCTTTTCCACCAACTCCGAGCCCGCCCATGCCTATAGAGTCTGTAGGGCTCAGCGGGTCCAGCTGGCCGCTTGGCACAAAGAAGTTGGGGTTCAGGGACCCGTCGATACCCCGGCCACCACCGGCAGCCATGGCCGTCGCGTTGAAGACGGCCGCCGCGTTGCGGCTGTCGAGCAAGGTATGGAGGCGCTCAACAACAGCCTCAAGCAAGCCATCTATCCTGTATGGGCGCGCTATCTGCAGAAGGCTGCAGAGGATCTGGGGTGTGCAAAGCGGCGAGCTTGGCGGCGCCAAGCTGCTGGTGTACAAGAAGTGCAAAAGCGCCTGCAGGGTCAGGTATGTGTGGGGCAGGTACAAACACCGCGGCCTTGCGTTTGGCGGAAGAGTCCTCGGGGTCGGCGACGAGTTTAGTGTGGTCAGGTCCGCCGGCGGGCTCATCAAGCCCGCAGAGGCTCCAGAGATGCTAGTGCCGGCGGTACTTGGTGGTTTGTTGCTGGCCGAGCTTGAACCCGACGTCATGGTACCCATCGACATGTTGCTCTCCATGGTGTTCCGGCCACTGGAATGGGTGACAGTGTTGACCGACGCGCGCATAGTCGCGCCAGGCGTTGACCGTAGCGTAATGACATCGTTGCCGTCCTGCGTCGCCGTGCCCTCGCGCAGGAGCTGGACGAAATAAGGTCCCCATCGTCGAGCAACGATGCGGCTGTTGACGGGAATGCGCTCGCCCCCGATGCAAAGTATGTCCATGTCTGCAAGCTCGCGCATAATCAGAGCCTTCTCGCCCAGCTCTTCAGATGCCGGCGAGTGCGACCGACCGCCGGCCGTAGTGCCGGCCTTGCGAGCAAGACTGAGGCCGGGCCCGGTGTACGGACTGCTAGCAGAGACGAAGCCAGACATGGGCGCGGTTTTTCTCGGGTTGTCATAGAACCCGAACGCTTCCAGCTCCACCATACAGACGTTGGAAAAGTTGATGCGCCGGTGGTTGTAGTCGTCCACCAGGCTTCGCTTTCGGTTGCCCAGAACCACAAACGTGTTTCTCCTGTTCCATAGGACTCCCCTGTTCCAACTTCCCTGACTGAAGACGCTACCCCCAGCGTCAATCTTGGACCAGGTCAGGTTTCTGAGGTCGAGCGCCCAAAGGGCATACTCCTGTTTCGAAGACGTAAGGTACGTGCCGCTAACGACAAAGTGCGTGTCGATGACACCTCCGTTAGGAAACCGCAGCCCGGGAGGGGAATAGCTTCCCGACATGGGCCTCTCCGACAACGAACCGTCGGTGCCTCTTATTTGTAGCTCCAGCTTCACGTCGAGGAAGTTGTAGTTGGAGTAGATCAGCATCGATGATCCGGGCTCGCGGGCCTCGTGGCTGATGCTGTCCTGCCTCATCATTCCACCGGCATTCGCCTTGCCGATCTTGGCGGTAACCGACGGTAACAGAGGTGCCACGACACTCCGATAGGCGCCGCAGCTTTTTCCGAGGGGCTGCGTGGAAGTCCACTTGAGGCTCCGAAGGTTGAATACACTGATCTGCTCGATGTAGTGATTATTCCCGTCCTGGCCTCCAACCACAATCATCTCTGCGCCACCTGTGCCGTCTATACTGATTCCGATCCTGCCTTCGTTGATACCAGTTGACGGGTTGTGATGCAAGGCTGAAAGAGGCGCCTTGTGGGAAGCGAAATTGGCCGACGAGGGCAGCACGCAGGCGCAATGCGCGTACCGGCCCTGTGGCGCATCTTGTGTGGGAATGGAGGTCCATGTCTTGGTTGGCACGTCGTAGATGTGGACGTCCGACATGACAGAGACCTCGGGCTGCTGTTCCTGGCCGGGTGAAGATTGGCTCGGCGAGGGTGACATGCCTCCGTAGCAGACCAGCTTCGTGTCGCCCAGTGGGCACATGGAATGGAAGTATCGCGGCGGGGGCAGGTCACCTGTTGTATCGAGCTTGGTCCAGTGCCGCCTAATAAGATCCAGCTCGTAGAGGTCAGAGGTCAGAGGCGCAGGCCGACTGCGAGACAATATCCTGCTGCCGAAAACATAGAGCTTGTCCCCGAGGATAGTGGTAGTTGCCCCGACGAGGGGATGGGGCTCCTTTCCCGTCGTCCTGTGCACGTTGCACATCAAGCCAGAGAGGTGCGATGAGCCGGTAGACGATAGAGTTCCCACGGCAGGGCCGATCGACGGCGCCCCTCGTTGTTGTTGCTGACCGGCCTGTGGCGAGGGCCCGCCAGACGAAGGGCCGCCACTCTTTGGCGTCAGATTCTCTCTCGGCTCATCGTTCACCTCCTGCCGCGACAGGCTCGCAAAGCTGCTACTCATGCTTAGATCGCCGGGCTGGTTCCGGTGGAGGCCTTGACGCAGTGGGGGCATCTCGACGGACGAAATCGAGTTCATGGAGCTCATCGAGTTCATAGAGGCCATCGATTCCATAGTATTCGTCCTTTCCATCTTTGGCCTCTGCAGTCTTTCGGCCAGCACCCCGGCTAGGCTGGCGTGTTGCGGCACAGAGTTGGTGGGGGTCGGTGTGGCAGGCGTGGAGGCGGGGTGCGGCGGGGGCTCGGGCAAGGGTTTCTCAAGACTGGTCTGCAAGCTCAGATTCCGGACATGTTGATGCGCCTGATCTTGTATTCTCGAGGAAAAGGACTTGAGACCGCGCTGGGAGGGCTGGCGGGTCAGGCGGGCGATGTTCTCTTGGCTCTTCTTGAAGCCGCGGTAGACGCCCGAGAGGATATCGGACGGGGATTTTACGGAGGGCACCACCGATCGTTCCTCGTTCTCTGAGTCTGAAAAGTAGGAGACGTCGCCTCCGCCGTTTTGGCCTGCATCGTTCATCGCGGGTCAGTTGAGTCCTGAGACTCGGTCCTACAACGTCCAGGCCAGACCAGCGACGGCGCAGCTCGATCGGTGCTGCGGCCGGGGTGCAAACAAGGTGCGACGGGCGGGTGGTGAAAAGAGTACAGGGAGGCGGACGAGCAGACGGGCAGACAGACAGGGAGGCACACCAGGGCAGACCGACGGTAGGTATACGTGTTGGGAACGAATCGAGGGCAGAAATGTTCAATCCCCGTCCCACCGCCAAGATCGGGCGCCGTGTGGACGCGAGGCGCTAATCAGGGCAGCGAGGGGGGGGGGGGGGGGGGGGGTATTAGGAAA